ATTTACAATGGGTGGTTGGCGAGTGTTCTGGTGTGGTTTGCTCCTTAATCTCGCGTATAAAAAAAATATATTGTCCTTACTTTTCCTCCTCATTTTCTCGATGCAATCCTCTCTTGTGGCACCGTTAATCTTCGCCACTTAAAAACAAGACCTAGCTGTGTGGTTTTTTTGGTGGTTTTTTTAGCAGCATCCGAGCAAAGGAATGAATGGAAAACCATGATCGCCGATATCTGTCACAGATCTGGCACTGGATGATGATGATGATGATGATGATGATGATGAGGTGTGTTTCAAGTGCGTCAAACTCTTACTAAAACTAAAAACTCAATGTTTTGTTACCTGTAACCTAAAAAGAAGGAGAGAAATAAAGAAAAAAAAGGCAACGTCTGACGGCTGACATCGGAATGTGCGGGGTGTGGGAGACAGTACGTGTGACTGTGACTTAACTGTTTAGACTGGACAGAAATCGGATTATTTTTGTTTCTTTGCTTTGCTCAATCGGCCGGAGAGAGTGGACGGCTGAGACGAGGCGGCTGGGGGGGGGTTCAGAAACGCTGGCAGGTGTGGATACTCATTATAACAAAAGTGAGAATAATACAGCAGTCAAATAATCCCTCTTGTGTTTGGATTGAAAGAGGGCATGAGGAAACAATAAGAAGTGTTAGAAAGAAACTTTGTGCAGTGCCCTGGTCATAAGAAGGTAGGAGGTCTAGAGTTACCCAGGATTAGAAACAGAGACAGATGTCTTGACAAGCGTAAGAACTTATTTAAACAAATTTAATTTACTTACACTACTCTGAGAAGAGAATTTTACAGTCTGGAAATTGAAAAGGTTACCAAAAATAATGTGTCCGTAAGTTAGGCTACAAATAAGAGACTTTGATGTGTCACTGTACATGAAAAACGCATTACTTAATTACTGTAAGTGCTGTTCATAGAACAAATAGATTTTCCCCACAGCCATGTGAATAAATTATAAATGCGGAAAGTTTTGATTACTGAAGTGATTACTGTGAAGGATAAAAACTCCTACTGAGAGTTGAGTATCATGTGTGTCTGTCCTTGTCTGTAACTGAAAATTTTCTCTCAGTCAGTTCAAAATAAAGTAAAATATAAAGTACATAACCTGCTTAACTTGTGCAGATGTGTTATATATATATGACACTCAATTTAAAAAATGTATAAGTAAATTTTGTCCTTTCCATCCAAAATGAAACGTGTCATGAAGCGGCAGAATGAGGCGCTAGTCAATATTGGGGCAACGAGTTATTGGTATCATCTTATAGGTTGTTCATTTGCCTTGCTTCCAATGAAAAAATATTCTTTAATCTTGAATAGAAGTAGAAGTCAAGATATTTGCGATTGAAGAAGGTGAGGTCACCTAGTTTGAGAAGTAAAACTTGCGAGAAAATCGGCGCCAAAGTTTGGTGACTTCCGTATCCTAAGAGTCCTTGGAAACTGCAAATCTGCATGTTTTGTTCTTTTAAGCAACGGTTTTCCATGAAACCCACTCATAAATGAGTGTTTGAATGGACATACAACAAGGTGTTGAACAACAACAACAAATGTCAAGAAAAAATTCCAAACTGGTTGAAAAATGCAGATTTCTTTGATTTCATTATTTTGATGAGCCCCTGATTTCACCACAATGCCTCACGAATAAAGTAACAATACGAGGTTTAGAAAAAGGGAACTAACTAACAGAAATAAAACCAGGACATGACACAAATGGGACCTGCCAGTTAAAATCATTCTGGAGTCTAGCTGCTTCTTCACTGCATACTGTATGTTAAGGGGGCAGACAGTTACTGTGTGGGATACATCATTATAATATAGGAAAAATCTAGAGAGACTACTTACTTTATGAAATAATATATCTCCCACATGAGGGTTGAACATAATCTAGATCTATGTCTTTTGTAGATGGAGGTGAAATGCCCAGCTGTTCCACCACAGAGTCAGTTTCTTAACTGCATGTATTTTGTTCTCGTTTTTTAACGAAAACAAAAAATACAACAGAATCAGTCCAAGACAACCACTGATTGTTGAGCGAAAATGAAGACATTAGCAGTCTTTTCAAGGTGGACTTTCGATCAGTCTGATTATAATACAGCAAAATAAGGAGGGGTGGGGGTGTAGGAGGTGGTTGTTTGTACAGGCGATTGCCTTGGAACGGTGGTTCTTAAAGCAGGATTGAATTCTAACATTAACTGTACGTTTATATTAAAGCATATCACTGACCGTAGTTCTTCTTCTCTCTCCCTCATCTCCCGGAGCTCCCTCTCGATCTTTGACTCGGCCGTCTGTTTGAACTCTTTGTAGGAGAAAAGCTGTCCTCCCGCAGCTGCTGCCACGCCCTTTTTCCCTGGGGCACCAGTCGGCGTGCTCGGTGAAGCGACCTCTACCGTCGGCGCCTCCTCTTGTGGTGACGTGTACGACAACGACGATCTTTTTGTCACAAAGTTTCTTTTGGCCGAGCCGTCTGCTTTGTCAAGGCCCGTAACCTCCATGTACTTATTCAAAGGCTGAATGTGCTCCTCCGACGTGGAGATGATTTTGCCTTCGCTGCGTAGTGTCATCTCTCTCTCCTTCTGCTTCACCAGCTCTTGTTGCAGCCTGTTCGAGGCGAATTTCTTCATGGAAGAGCTGGGCTGGCCCATACTTCGCGGGCGAGAGAGGGAATTTCCGGAGTCGGCGTCGGAGGGTGAACCGTATGAGGCGTAGTAATCGTCTTCCGCTTTGACTGCCAGCTCGGGCAGGCCTTTGGAACGTCGGAGTTCGTTCTCTCTCTCCCTTGACAGCCTCATCTCTCTCTCAATCGGCGTTTCCACTTTTTGGAAATAGTTTGGTTTGTCATCGTCGTCCTCCTCCACGCCGTCGGACAAGGGCTGGACGCGAACGTTTCTCGACGGTGTGTGTTCAGATGGGGTGCGTCCAGTGCTGTGGCTTGACGTAGAATCAACAGAACCACGACGATTGTTCACGAACGGCGAAACATCCCTCTGCCACGTGCCTTGAGAAGGAGATGGGGAGGGGGCGTGGCTTGGGGCTGAAACACGAGACTGTTGGGTGACGCCCAGACTGACCGGCTTCTGTGGGGTTGGCTGAGAGGGTGGGGGCGGTTCGGGGGCGGAGTCTGTCTCGTCCTGTGATATTTGTACGCCTCTGAGAGAGCTGTGCATTCTCCTCATCTCCTCCTCTCTCTCTTTGAGTTCGCGAAGCTCGCGAGCTATGATGCTCTCCCCGTCGCTTGGTGTGGGTGGGGCCTCCTCGTAGCTCATGCTCTTCCTCTGGTTGTGGTTGATGTCTTCATACTCCTAGATGACAGGACAGAGAAAAGAAATGGGCTATTTAGGAAGGAAACGGTGTGTTATTATTGCGCTCTCTCTCTCTCTCTCTCTCTCTCTCTCTCTCTCTCTCTCTCTCTCTCTCTCTCTCTCTCTCTCTCTCTCTCTCTCTCTTTCTCTCTCTCTCTCTCTCTCTCTCCCCTCTCCCCCCGCCCGTGTGTGTGTGTGCGTGTGTATGTGTGTTTGTGTTTGTGTGTGGGCTGATTCGGTGCCTGTCCACCTGACGGTTTACCGCGATGGGTTCTGACGCAAGGCGTGCGCAAGGTAATTATTTGGAACACATACTGTCACTACTGTCACCCCCCCTCCCTCCCCCCCCTCACACACACACACACACACACACACACACACACCCCCCCCCCCCCCACACACACCCCACACACACACACACACACACACACACACACACACACACACACACACACACACACACACACACACACACACACACACACACACACTGATGCACTATATGTACTATCAAGAAACAGGAGGGGCCAATTACAATAACTGGTCGCTTCTCAGGACAAGTGGGTTAACCCAGATTTCGGGAGTTTCCAGAAATCTTGACCTACACCAAAAGTGAGCCTTGCCCTACCTATAGGAGAAGTTTTGTTTCATTGGTATGTATATTTGTTTGGTTATAGAGAAAACTCTCCTTATCTTTTAAAGAAACTGAACAAGGGGCAAAAACTTAACCTTCAATTTTCTCAAAACAGCATTTTTCGGGATAGATTCTAGCCCCCTTGTGCTAAAAAGCGACCAATTGTGGTTACATTTACTACAATTACACTTTTTTTTAATGTTTCGTTCCCAAAACTGACACCCACCTCCTGGGACCTGCTCGTCGTTGTCACCGAAACATCCACAACCGGAGAAGGAACACGCTGTTCTTCCTGCTCTATCTCTACGAGCTGTTGTTGCTGTTGCTGCTGCTGTTGCTGCTGCTGTCTAGTCTCCCCTCCGAGCTGCTGTCTCTGGCGGGAGAGCTCTGCCTCTCTCTCCCTCTGTAGACGAATCTCTCGCTCTATGATGCTCTCGTTCGGGTCCACCTCAACCGTCTCATCGCCACTCTGTTGGTGAAAAAAAAAACGTTTTAAAGTTTTACGCCCAAATCAACACTATTTTTAGTTTAGTTTTAGTAAGAGTTTTACGGCACTTGCAACAAAATAAGGTCATAATAATATAATGCCGAAGAATAGATTATGTGTTACAAATTACAAGAGATTGACATACACAAAAAAGAAGGAGGGGAGATAAGGACGACAGATGTTTGATAGGAAAGAAGGAGCAAACCACACCAGAGCACCCGCCAACCACCCTCTTCGACACCATTTAAAATCATTCAATGCTTTACGCGCCTTAATGAACACTACAATTTAGATTGTTTAGGAGGCAGGCTGCTTCGACCCTGGCTCTCAGGGCCAACCTGGGCTGAGAAGGTTACAACGTTCCAATAGAAAGAGCGAGATTTTAAGATAGAAATTCTTCCAACCCGGGAATCGAACTCACACGTCTCATGTGGGCGACGGCGAAGCGCCTAATCGCTGCATCACAGACGCCGGTGATGGTGAGTTCGTTTTAGTTTAGTTGAGTTGAGGAAAAGAGAAAAACATTGACACGATAATGGTCATGAACAGTAACTGATGCAGGGTTGATGTACATGAAAACAACGGATGAAAAGAAGAAGGATATAGGCCTACATGTATTATCATATTATTATACACGTACAAGAGGTAGGTTATCCTCCAATAATCCACCATCAGATCGTTTTAAAAAAAAGACATGATGGATCTAACGGTTTTTGGGTGCAAGGAAAATTCAAAACACGGGGACTGAAAAATATACGGAAGGATGGAAAAAAATAGGACTTAGCCAGCCATTTTTTAAATTATTTTTTTTGGAGGGTGGGTTATTAGTAGTTTTGTTGTTGTTGTTGGTGGTGGTGGGTTGTTTTTTGTATACTTATCAGTACATTGTCACATCTGATTCTTTTTTTCTTTAAAGGGCTTGCCTCCTATCACATAGGCCTATAATTCTTATTTACTGATTGCTTTGTTCCAACAGTCAGTACTACAAGATAAAATATCAGCTTAATACATGTACATCAAATTACTGATGTATTTTTTTCCTACCTCTGTTATTTGAGCCAAAGAATTGAGTAAAACTGTTTCCCCCATCATATTTGATTAAGGTGTACAGACCTAAGCATTATTAATGTGAGCAGTATTTAAGTGTCCTTGAAATAATTCCTTCATGACGGCACAAGAAGAGCAAATCATTACTGTGCTCCCCAGGACCTCGTACGACAGTTTAGTGTTCTTTGCTTTTTGTTTTAGTCAGCATTTTACGGCACTAGCAACACAATAAGATCATATACGTCCCGAGGATTAGAGGCGTTACAAGTGAGCAGAGTTTTAGTAAGTGTTTTACGGCACTAGCAACACAATAAGGTCATATAAGTGCCGAAGAATAGATGTGTTACAAGAGAGTAACGAACACAAAAAAGGAGGAGAGATAAGGACGATAGATGTTTGATAGGAAAGAATAAGCAAACCACACCAGAGCACCCGCCAACCACCCACGTTACAAGTGAGTAACAGACACAAAAAAGAAGGCGGGACAATATATGCTTGATAGTGATAAGACAGAAGGAACAAACCACACCGGAGCACCCGCCAACCACCCACGTTACAAGTGAGTACAATGTAACAAACACAAAAAAGAAGGAGGGACAATAGATACTTGATAGTGGTAAGGAAGGAACAAACCACACCAGAGCACCCGCCAACCACCCACGTTATTTTAAAAAAAAATTTTTTTGTAAAGTGTTTTACGGCGCTCGCAACTGCATAGGTCATATGAGCGCGCGGGACACACCTAATATTTTCAGTTGGTAGGACATTTTTGAATTTTTTGCCCGGGTGGCGGCCGAAGCCTACTCTTATCGATTTTAGACCACCAAGGGATCTTTAACGTGCGCAACTTGCACACGGGCCCTCCGAGATTTTTCGCCCTTGTCCGAGAAGGCTAGGTGTAGATCTTTCCTACCAGAAGATCAGGGGTGTGGCAGAAAGACAGCAGTAAGGAGGAGCCAATGAGTAGCAGTAGAAAGGCTGCAGAAAGAGTCAGGAGCCCAGAGGAGGGGGCAAAGGAGGTGAGGGGGGTGGGGGCAGATAGTGGAAATGAAAGCAGACAACAGAACATTGCTAGAGAGCAGGAAAGGAGGTGAAAGGAGACAATTTTAGAGAAGAAAATTTTTGGTCGCTACCCGGATTCGAACCCGGGACCTTTGAATGAGAGGCCAACACCTTAACCTCTAGGCCACGAGAGCCCCCTACCCACGTTACAAGTGAGTACAATGTAACAAACACAAAAAAGAAGGAGGGACAATAGATGCTCGATAGTGATAAGACAGAAGGAACAAACCACACGGAGCACTCACTTTACACCACCCCTGGTGTATTTTGTAGACAGTAGAAGTAACAATACAACACAGTATCCCACACACAAGCCTGTGTTATATTCATATTATATTTATAGGCCTACATATCTCGTCCCCACCCCCATTTATTTTCCATTCAACACACACAAAAATGTTTTCTCATACATCCCTTCCCCCTGTCGTACACACACACACACACACACACACACAGACACACACACACACACACACACACACACACACACACACGCACGCACGCAAACACATATGCACACCGCGTGCGCTCAATGTGCCAGACAGACAGACGCATACAAAGTCCCGGAGCACATTATCAAGAAAGACTCAACATATTCTTGGGAACCATAAAAAGAAAACTAAGAAGAGCATTACTGCAAAAAAATGTGTGTGTGTGTGTGTGTGTGTGTGTGTGTGTGTGTGTGTGTGTGTGTGTATGTGTGTGCACTTGTGTGTGCATGTCTCAAGTCAAGTGGGAGAGGCTGTTAACCAGGGCATCAACTCACCTCCTCGTCCTCCTCCTGCTGTTGTCTCCCTCCCCACAAGTCTGGCCCCCTGTCAGCCTCCGTGAGCTCGTTGAAGGCCGGCTGACAGGACTCGCTCTCTGCCGACACAGCCTCGTACGACGCGATGATCGTTTGTCCAGTGCTCTTAGGTGGTGGAGGTTGCTGTTGCTGTTGCTGTTGCTGTTGCTGTTGCTGCTGCTGCTTCTGTTTCTCCATCGCCACCTGTCTCTCCTCTTTCTCCCTCCTCAACATCTCCTCCCGCTCGTGCGCCAAGCGAATCTCTCGCTCGATGGCGCTCTCATTGTCCGTGATTTTGGGCATGTTGTCTTCCTCCTGCTCAGAACTAGAAACGTGCCCGTTGGCCGATGACGCTATTTCTTCCGACGAAGGGGGCGGGGCCGAATGTTTCTCTTTATAAGGCAAACGAACCTCCCATTTGGGAGCGGCTTTCTTCTTGAGTGTGTTCGACCCTGATGTAGACCCGCCCTGATCGGGGCTCTGTGACGTGAATTTCGATTCCCACTGCTGGCGCGTGCTGGCAAGGTTGGCTATAGACTCTCTATTCACAGACTCGGTCGTCTCCCCTTCCTTTACCACGTTCTCGCTGTAGAGGTTGATGGTTTGCTCCTCCCCTCCTTGCTTCTCCTCCCAGCCAACTTCTGGTGGGGGTGCGGGTCGGTCGACGCTGTAGATGTAGCCGTACTCGCTGGGGTTCCCGCTCCTCAGGCCTGTACGGTCACTGTCTGTGGAATCTGGGGAAACAGAGAGAAAGGGGGACGCATGAGTCACGCGATACAGTAATAGTAATAGTAATAAGTAACAAGATGAACAGCGGCACTATATTTATATTATATATATAAATAAATATACGGCCAATCAGTCTGTGGCGTCTGGGGAAATAAAGAGACAGGGGGGGCGTATGAGTCACGTGATCGGGAGATAGTAATTGTCTCGTTGACGCTTTGCGGTGCTTCGACCCTGTCTGCCAGAGCTAATACAGGCTGAGAGCGACACAACATTCCAGCAGACAGAGGGTTTTGCTTGTTTCTTTGTGTGAGTAAAGGGAAGGACATCGACACAATAATTGTCATTTAGCGCTAGGAAAACGTAAGACAAACAAACAGAAACAACAAAGGGAAAGTAAAGAAGTAGGATCTACCAGTGGCGCCCCCCAACCACCCACGCAGACAAAGGGACATAATATCTGATTTGTTCTTTTTTAATCCTCCCCAGACGAGAGTAAAACTCACGTGTTGTGCATGTGGCTTGAAGTGCCAAGCCGCTACACCGTAGACGCCAGAGGAACATAAAGAAAGACGGACGTGCTAGTCACATGACAAGGTAACAACGTTTACTGTTGAGGAGTGGTTTAGGGCAAGTCAACAGTGAACGGAAAACGAAATATTGTTTAAGTAAAAAGAAGAACAACGACAAGATAACGGCCGATCAACGTAGGGCCTATCAGGGGTGCCCTCCAGTCGTTGACATGAGGTTATCTATTTGAGTATAGATGGGTCTAAGTCTAAAGAGGCGCTTATCAACAGGATAACAATCATTTTGTACTAGTGAAAACCAAAAACCCCCAAACCAGCGACACAAAAACAAGACCCGCTGACAGAAGCGTTAGATTGAAGGCTATTAAGTCGGCCGAGACAATAGTACCCTCTAACCATCCACCGGATCCGAAAAAAAGACAAACAGCAAATAACAAAATCAATCAGCTGCAAAAGGAGCGATTAGCCACACAAGAGAGTACAGCTTATCCGCGTCATGGAATCTACAGATCCGGCTTCCTGGTGGTGCATTCCTAAAACAGTGGACTTTATCTCGTCACATTTTCAGAAAGCTGATCTTTGGCAAAGGCTGCCACACTGAAACGGGCGTCCTACACAGTATGTGTTATCGCTTGAGAAAAGACAAACTCATAGACTCCTGAATGGTCTTTCGTTTCTTTGTTTGTTCGTTTTGGGTAAACAGAAACACCCAGACACAATAACGGTCATTTGGTGCAGGGGAAAGATCAGACAGATAGACAGAAACAACAGAGGGATAGAACAGAAGTGGGACCTAACAGTAACAGTGGCGACCTCCAACCATCCGCGAATGGACAGAGACAAAGCAAGATAGACATTATTATATCATAAAGGACGGGGAAAATGTGTTTAAAAGTAGAACCTACCAGTAACACACTCCAACGATCTACGCGTTTTATCCAAATTATCTCACCGGAACTTTTGCACAATTTGAGGGTTTTTTTAAAAACCAAACCACCTCGGTAGAATAACGGCCATTTAGTGCTGACAAAAAGCAGGAAAGAGAGGCCGAATTTATAGAGGTAAAGAAAAGATGTCGGGCCTATACCAGTCACACCCTCCAACAACACGCGCTAACTCTGTGAAGCTTAACCGTAATTGGAGTAATTAACAAGATATATTAGAAGGGTTGAGGATTAAGACATTAATTGTCAACTAGAAGTCGCTATGTCAGTACACTGTTGACAATCTATATAAGTGCGCCAATGTTATGATGCAGTAGAATAATTGTGCTGTAGTATAATATTACAACGAGATATCGTATCGAGCAATTTAATTAGTGGGTTATGGGTGTGATGCCTTTTTTTTTTCGACACAGTATATGGGCAGGCCTACTGTAATTTAACAGAATGAGAAACAAATTAATACAATAACAGTTATTTTGTGCAGGAAATATACATGTAGTTAAGACAGACAGAAGGAAATAACAGGTAGAAAGAAAAGAAGTTAGACTAAACTGTGGCCCCACCCAACTACCCATTGAAATGAAGTCATCTGTTTTAATTAAATATAAAGATAAGACTACAATACGAAAACAGACAGCAGATTCTAAATAAGACAGGGGGGAATAGCCCACAGAAGTTTGTTTCTAGCACCATACGTTCAGTCAAACTGGAACTTACTCGAAAAAGTATATATAATATAGCAAGAAACACTGATAAGTGAAAGCAAATTTCGACTCTCCAACCCCCCCAGCGTCAATCATTTAAAAAAAAGTAAATTCAAAATAGAAGGCTAAAGTTTATTTTTACTGATATATCAATTTATCAAAACCGGATCAGCGTAAACCTCACTTGATGGAGAAACCAAACCTTACGAAGCAGAACGACCAGTGTCACCACACACTGCCCCACCCTGTGTTTAACACCGCTCGTCAACCGGCAAGTTCTAATAATTGTACGAGATCATTTGAACAGGTATCTTGTCGAACAAAACACCGCCCTATTTTTAACCCTGTATTCATTATTATTTATTTGTTAGTTTGTTCGTTTGTGTGATTATTTGCTAGTGTGTGTGTGTGTGTGTGTGTGTGGGGGGGGGGGGGGGGGGGGTTGTCATTCTGTTGTTACCTATTCAGCCGTACATCGTACCTCCAATGGATTACTCTTTTTTTGCATCACTAAACATGAGATGAAAGAGCCATACTATTTATACTCATGAGCAAAGAGAACTTTCTAGGCCTCTGCATTTTACTGCTCTAGAAACACCACACTCAGAGTTCCCTTCTAAACGTTAAGTCTCATTAAGAAGTGTGAGAGTGAACATTTGTAGGCCTAGCTTTTTGTGAATTTTTAAGGAACCTAAAAGTATCCAAGTACACAGGGCACACGTTCAGGGCACACTTTTATCTGCGTCTCTTTTGTCAGTTCAACATTCATGCATCAACAGCTTTCATGAGGCATATTTCACAAGTTGAAGCATAACATCAGTAATCAGTTTCATTCCACAATGTTTTTTGTCAGTTTAGATTATCTGTGAGTCGATTTGGAGTCTGGTGAAATCCAAACCTGTCACTGTCACACAGCTCTCACACTCTGTAATGAGATGATGAACCAGTTCATAGAATTAACTGGTAAGAAACCTCAAATAGCTTTCTTCACCCTGTGATCAGTGTTGTTAACCCTTTTTAAAGACATAGTGGACACATGTCGCTACCCTGAAATTACATAGTTCTGTCTGACATTTTTGGCTGTATTGAGTTCCGAAGATCATGAGGTCAGATAAACCAAATTATGTTATATCTGCTCTATAAAAATCATAAGATCTCTCGGAGTCGTTATCAAGATATTCAAAGAATTGCATCCGAAAAAGCTTGATATGTGAAACTCAAATTTTTTTATGTCAAATTTCTCAAAAGTAGGTGCTGAGCAGATAAAACTTTGTAATCCTAGGGTAGCGATGTGTCTAATCAGCAACAGGTTAAACACAGTGTTTGTGGCACACATTGAACCCTCACACGCACATCTTCCATAGAGAAAGTAGACTAGACCACTGGGCTTCTGCTCTGCCACCACAGCAAGGTTTAACAAGCAGGGAATCTGCACCAGTAATGCACAGCATTTTCGTAAGCCCGGACCAAATGAAGCACATTTATTCTTATGTGGTCGCGGCATAGCAAGAGCTCTCACGTGCCATGATAGGGTGGTCTGAAGGAACACTTACTACATTTGTTATATTACCACTTTTTCTCAAGAATTCTACGTCTATTGCCGGAGCACATTCACTCTTGTTTGACTGAAATGCGTACGTTAAATGCATCAATTTGAACATCATATTTATATAATAATACGTATACCTGCAAAACAAAACAATATTAAGCAACTTGTGTTTTCAGTCGGAAATATGCAGTGTACATTTTAGGGGGGGG